TATATATATATATATATATATATATATATATATATATATATATATATATATATATATTAGATGAAAAACTTAAACATTAGAACTTAGCAACTAACTGAAGTAAGTTGAAATAAAGACAAATTAAAGCTAAATCAAACTATTTAAAAAAACTACTAAAAATGACAGGACAAATCAAAATGACTGAAACTTAAATTAACCACTTAACACAAAATATAAAATTAAACCTTATTTGAAATTTAAATAATATAATAGTATGTAAATTATTCAAAAATAGCACTGCTTTATATTCATTACCACAAGGATTTTTTTTTACTGTAAAGCTTTTCTATAAGGTTCCTGATGTAGAAATCCATATACAAATTATAACAAATTATTTTGTAGGTGATCATCAAGAAAATGCCCTAATTGCCATTGTTTATCTGTCCTCTTTCCCTGCATCCCACTTATTTTAAAGAAGAGAAAGGAGGATGACCCAGACACTAAGAGGATGAAAGAAGGAGTGAATGTAGTCATCCCTTTTGTCCCATCTGCAGACAACTCCAATCTGTCGGCAGATGGAGAAGACTCGTTCATCAGTGTGGACATGGACTCTGCCATGCCCAGCCCCTTCAGTGAGGTAAGAGACTCTACTCGTATGCACTTCCTGTACAGGATTGAACTATGTGATCCTAATAATGTTTTATTGAATTGCAGAGGTCATGATGACAGGAAGAATAATAGTAGTGCTGGTCCTGTAATGACATTTTTTTAGCTGACGAGTCCACAAAACAATAATATGAGAACTTTCCCAAAAAACAGATGATTTCTATTGAGATACTATGCCATTGTCACACATCCTCTCATTTACTTGCCATATTGATCTCATGCCGCTCTTCCTCCTCCTCGTCCATTTTCTGGTCCTGCTGTCTTTCCTTCGTGGTGCTGTCCCTCTGTCCCCATCTCACCCCCAGAACTATGTGTCTCTGCAGATCTCGCTGAGCAGTGAGCTCCAGCCCAGCTCCATTCCTGCAGACGAAAGCAGCAGCGACATGCTGGTAATTGTGGACGAACCCATGTCTTCTGCTCCACAGACCCGTGCCACCAACTCTCCCGCTTCCATCTCCGGCTCTGTGTCTGACACGATGAATGGTGGGTGCCCTTGTTTTAACTCTTGTTAGTTTTTAATTACATTCAGACTTGTGTAGCTCACAGAAAGCTTTGTTGTATTTCATACATTAAGACTTTTTTTCAGCCTAAACACCTACATTTGCTACAACTTCTTGCTTCTCTGGTCTTATACATGTGTTCATTGGGGATTATTGCTTTACTGTTCAAATTCCTGAATACAGTTTAACGGGGTCACATTTAGCACAGATCTGGCTGCCTTCCTGTCGAGTGATGAGCAGTGCTAATAAGCAGTGTTGCAGTCTAGGCCATAAAGCTGAGAGTGCAGAGGTTTGTGGGACTGAGCTTGCCTGTGAAACGCGAGCAGAACTGTGGCTATGAAGGAGACATGGTGTGCGTGAGTCTGGACCGCACTGGCTCAGACAGCCTCGGCATGCAACCTCACAATAAACTGATGATTAGAGGAAAAATGGCAAACTCCGACAATTTAGAAGAAACATATTGATTGATAATCTGTTAAATAGTCGTGAAATCATATTTTGAGGGTACACTACCAAGTTTGGGGTTGGTAATTTTATTTTGGTTTTTGAAAGAAGTCTTTTATGCTCACCAAGGCTACATTTATTTGATCAAAAATACAGTACAAACAGTATTATTGTGAAATATATTTTTACAATTTAAAATAACTGTTTTCCATTTTAATATATTAAAACGTAATTTGGCCCTGTGATGGAAAAGCTGAATCTTCAGAAGCCATGGATCGTAACCCATTTCATCATACATGACTCTCTCTCAGGTGTCTCCTCCCAAGATATATCCAGTCCAGGCAGGGGAAGGTCCAGTCGGAGTCGAGGACGACCCCAAGGGTCTGGAGGAGCCGGGAAGTCTTCTGTGAGAAAGGGAAGAGGACGGAAGTCCACCGCAGGCAGTGCTGCAGCCATGGCGGGGGCGATGGCAGGGGCGGCAGCTGCGTCTGCAGCTGCGTATGCCGCATACGGCTACAGTGTGTCCAAAGGTAACAGATTTGACTTTGACTAACAGAACTCCTGGTGAAAAGGTTTATAACAGTTTATCTATTGTTAATCAACCCTCTTCCAGGTATTCCAGCAGCTGGCTCCTTACAACCGGCTCTTATTCGGTCTTCAACCACACCTGCCTTTGTTCCAGCTGGCACCTCCTCCCCCCAGGCTAAAGGAAGCGCTGTGGCCACCAACTCACAGACTTTAGCACACGGCAGTTCACAAAGCCAACACAACGCCACTAAGAGAGCCAAAGGACCCAGCAACCACAGTGGGCGGTAGCAGCTTGTGAATGTTCGCTTTTTGATTGTAGCATGGCCAGTACATTTTCAGTCCACGGTTGATGATTCTCACGCTTACGATGTCGAGCCTTGCTTACACCGCAAGCCCTACTGTCACTGGGAAACCCGACCTGATGCACACCCCAATTTAGCATCCATTTTGGGTGCTGGTGAGCAGTATGGGAGGTTGCACACTTCCCTAAAAGCCTAAACAAAGTCACTTTCCATTGAGAATTTGATCTTCTGAATATGAAATTTAACTAATTGTTCCTTATGTACAGAAAATAGCCATTGTAAAGGTTGACAAAAGAGTTAGTTATTCCAGTGCCAGCCCTATTTTTTGGTTTTCTGATGACCAAGTAAGCAAAGGGCAACAGGGCCAAATGAAGGAACCAAGATTTTTCTTCATCTTCTGGCGCTGATCATGAGATGCTCGGCATCATTATGAGCAGAGATGAGTTGAAATGGGAACAGGGAAGGAATGTTGGTTGTTGAACACCTTCTTGAACCAAGTCTTTTCCTTGAACACATAGGAACAGATAAGACTGCTTTTGTAAGATTGCGCTTATTTTTGTAGGACAGACTCGTTGACATTTGTTCAGTTTAAAATACCGAATGGCCTTCTTTCAATGTTTATTTGCTGCAAATTCAAAGATTTTGGCTTAAATGCTAATATATATTTTCTCTTGGGAAGAATAAAATAAATCAATGTTTTTTGTAGTAAATGCAATGGAAAAATGTCTGAAGTGAGTGCTGCTCGAAAAACGTCAGCTCAGATTGTGACTTAAAATACTTGGATGTGAAATGTATCATAGCTTAAGTTAAAACCTGGTAATTTATGATGAGCTGTGCTAGTTGTAAATTGTATCAAAGCGGTTTTATTTTTAAATAACATGAAAAAGTCCATAATTTTGTTGCATCTGTGACGTATGGCTGTGGTTTTGAGGAAGGCCATTTATGGGTTTATTTTGTCTTTAAAAGTGATGATAAATGTTATATGGATGTAAATACTTCAAGGGTATCGTCCCTTTCAAAGTTCTCCATTTCCCCCCAATTGCTTGTCTATTTTTATAGGTCAGTGTAAATACCTGGAGAAAACCCCAAATGGTCCTTTTACTAACTTGGAGAAAAACTAAATAAACATTGATTCAGTGCTTTGAAAGTTTCACTGTGGGATCATTTCTTTCTGCTGAATCTTTCAAAACCCTGTCTGATTTTAAAAAGCAAGTCTACGCCAGTTAAATCTTTTGACCGTCGCCATTTTGTTCTTACAAGTTCAAACGTCTTTCTTACATATTCAACATAGATACCAACTTTTCACACCCAACACACTTGACAATCAGGTCACAGGTTCTCTTTTAGGTTTTAATGTGCAAAAGGAAAACAATCGTAATGGCTTAACAGTATTCCGCTTCAGTGCAAATTAAAATGGAAGTGTATTGAGGTTTATGCCCACATAAAAAATAAAATTGAACAGCTTCAAAACTGGATAAACAATACATTGTCACACAAACATGCCTTTGTACTACAGCACCATGTACTTGGGTCAAGAGCAGAAGACAACTGAGAACTGACAGTACGCATGATATCATGCTATAGAATGACAACATTGAAAGCCTAAAACGCCATGTTCCCTTAATACAGTACCTTTACTGTAGTACAGTAAATTTTAATAGCTTGGTATAGGAAGAATGAAATATTTCAATAGTCACTAAATCACAAACACACCTCAAGGACGGCAACATGAACTTTATGTTAGGACTTTAATGGTGTTTGGACTAAATGTTGACCTATTTAATGTTTTATAGAAGATACAGGTGTCTAGCCTGCTAACAATATGGGTCTAATGGTGGCAAGAACAGCTGCCTCGATGGAGAACAGGTGAGGGTCATCCACATCAGGGCAGCTGACTCTCATGAACTCCGCCAGGCGAAGCAGGTACTCGATGTTGTGGCCCGACTTCCCCTTGCACACTGCGATCCGAGCAGCAATTTCCTTTGTGCTGGCAGGCCCCAGGTAAATAGGGTTGTCAGGCGTGGCGATGTAAACCAGAGCCTGGACAGGTGACTGGTTTGCGCCCTGCGGGAAGAACTCTACGATCTGGGTCAGGTAGCCGCCTATTACCGCCTCCCTCACATTCAGGTACTTGAGAGACTCCTCGACCTGAGAGCCAGTCACTTCGAAGGCAACACCCCATGTGCACGCCTGTGTATGAAAACACAAGTTTAGTCACAGCTAGTGAGGAGAATGCGTATTTAAAGGGATAGTTCACCCAAAAATAAAAATGGTAATTTGCTCAATCTCATGTTGTTCTAAACCCTAATGACTTTCTTCCAGCAGAAATGAAGTATGTCAGGCAGAATGACAGCCTCAGTCACAATTTACTTTCATTGCATCTATTGGTTTCTATACAATGGAAGTGAGTGGAGACTGAAGCTATCATTTAATTTAACATCTTAACCCCCGGTTTCACAGACAAGGCTTAAAGCCTAGTCCCAGACTAAAATGCATTGTCTGGGCTGTTTTAACTGAAACGAAATTTCACTGACACCTCAATATGTCAGTGCCATTGTTGTGTCTCAATATGCACATGAGTAATGTTATTTTCTAAGGCACGTTTATAAGATACTTAAACGTCCTAATTTAACTATGGCCTAATCCTGGTTTACTCTAAACCCGGATTGTGAAATCAGGCCTTAGTGTTTAGCACAGGGCTGGCCAACTTCAGTCCCGGAGGGCCACTGTCCTGCAGAGTTTAGCTCCAACCCTAATCAAATACACCTGCCTGTAAATTTCTAGTGATCTTGAAGACACTGATTAGCTTGTTCAGGTGTGTTTGATTAGGGTTGGAGCTAAACTCTGCAGGACAGTAGTTGCCCAACCCTGGTTTAGCGGAAATCATTCAGTCAACTATATGCGACGGTATCTATGGGCGTATCTGGCGTTGCTCAAAATCCTGTCCAATCGCAGCCTAGATAGGGCGGGTCGTTTTATCTTCTATCCAATCAAATCATCTCGCCGTGACACTATACGCGCCTACCTGTCTGATTGGCTCACGAACCAGGAAAAAACGCGAGAGGTTGTTTAATTTCATAGGCGAGCCAGACGTCAGTCACAGAATACTCTCACGCTCATTCGTCAGAAAATCTGTCGCTTAAAGTCTGTTCGGCTGATGCAACTTGAAACAACGGTTTCAAGCGGCGACACGGGCACAGTACGTACTGTTAGTATTGCATCAGGCCTTCTAAGAATGTTATTTGACACCGAAAACACTGCTGAATGCACATACAAGGTACCAGATTTGACTTCTTATGAAGTCTTCATTGGAAGATATAATAATTCATATAATATGACATAATATATGAGAAAATAATATAACATTCATCCATTTATCTATCACGGGGATGCTGGAGTGCAACTCAGCATCTTGGAGCCATATAATAACATAATATCACATAATATAATATAAAACATAATATAACATAATAAAGAAATCAAGATGCTATTACAAAGCATGTCCACAAATTCCATATTTATTTTAAATGCAGTAGTAGAGTCAAATATTAAATGCATTTTCCTTGTCACCAGAAAATGTAACATCCTTCAGACATCCCCATTCAGTTTGATCCTATCATGACTGCTGAGACAGATTAGTTTCTTCCTAAAGATCTTTTAAGCTATGGCATCGGCTTGTATTTTAGATCTCCTTTGTCTGTAATCTCTATCTATAATAGTGTGACACATTTCTGACCTTTCAGTACAGAAACATCTTCACAATTTTTCGTACATTTCTAATCTTTCTACAAACCTGACATCCAGTGCCACATTCTTGGCAGGTTCAACCACAAGTGTTCATCTCTATTTTGATTACATTTCTTGTTACATATTATGATAAAGTTAAGGTCACCAGTACCTTAAGTTCAGAAAGTACTCGGAGTGCATGTTGTTTGTCCTTAGAATTGCGTCATGTTCTTAGCAAAACAAATATTTATGTACTAACCTGTTTTCTGTCTGGAAGATTCGGCATCTTATTAAATTAATGTTTTTGCGTATTATATATATATGGCCAGTCTGAGAATAACAACATGACAGCATCATCAAACTATTAAGAAATACAGGCAGGGCAGACTTGTGATCTCAGTAGCATCACAGTTCTTTTGTCATCCCTGCTTGGGATTTACGTCTTAGGTTGACAAGTTTTGTCAGGCCAGATTCTAAACCATTAGTCTACTGGTGACTCATTTAATATTCACTCTGTGACTGCAGATGTAGCATCTTTCTCATTTCAACAGAAAGGATGGGCTATATTTTATTATTACCCCATGTTATTTCCTTTTTGCAAGATTGTTTGTAATATTTTCCAGGTAAATGAATCACTGAATTTCAAAACAATTAGATCAGAGGAAATATTTTATTTGCTTATAAAAAATTAGTCCAATTTCGGTTGATAAACAAAACACCCATCTGCCCCTGGCCACCCCTGGACATTTCCTTGTAGTATAGCTTAGGCTCTTCTTTGGTTAAAATAGGATTATCTATAAATAGAGGTATTAGCTGGCATCATAAGATACAAACACATGTAAGCTCCTTAAGTCTACATGATGAACAAGCCTTTCTCTGCCTTTAGCTCAGGCAGACGGGGGAGCTCCAGTGACCAGACCTTTCACGGGACAGCCTGTTTACTTTCTCGTGTGAATTGCATGTGTTGTACTTGCTGTTTCTTTTTAGCCGCTTCTAACAAATTTCTAAATCCATATTTTTTGGGGCTGTAGCTCAAATTCCTGAAAGAATTTATTAGCATAATTGATTGAATGTTTATCTTAATCAACATAATTCTATATAATTCATATGTCATTTTACAAAGCTCATTATTTAAAAAATGTATAACAGATCTTCATGCTAGTTACATTGGCTCATATAAGTTTGACGTTATGTTGATGGCCAGTTGACAATGTTGGGAAGGTTACTTTGGAAATGTAATAGGTTACAGATTACAAGTTACCCTATTTAAAATGTAATAAGTAGTGTAACTTTTTCAATTACTTTATTAAAGTAATGTAACTGATTACATTTGATTACTTTTCTAAATTTCTAATGTTTTCAACTGTTGGTCAGTTTCAAACATTTAAACCAGGCACACTGTAAATTCCAATTAGTAAACCTTACTTAAAAAAAGCATGCAAACCGATTGCCTTGAAAAAACCAAGTAAAGTGAAATAAGAATAATAATTTGTTATAACAAAGGTGTATTTATTGTTGTAAACTTACACGCAAGTTCTGGTAACTCAGACTCATCACTATTTTCAACAACTAAATATAATAAGTACAATATACTATGTGCGTATTTCAAACAACTCTTTTATTTAAGTTGAGCCAACTCGTGTAACATTTCCTGCAACTTGGAATTTCTAAGTTGTATTTACTTAAATAGCAATCTGATTTACTGGCTAAAAGCATGCAAACCGATTGCCTTAAAAAAACCAAGTAAGCGTTACTCCATTAACTTAAGTGCTTCAAACATCCATTACAAATTACTGACAACAATGTTCCATTCATCTCACACACATACAATTACACATAAATTTAAGGTAGTTGAAAGTTCAAAGTTAAAGGTAATGTTTTTAGGGTTTTTTTCTCAGTGCAGTTTTAACTTGTATTACAAACATTTTGAAACAAAGCAAAAACAATCTGATTTAGGGTATGCTTCTTGTAAACAGTGGAGGTAGCAGTACAATGAATAAGTATGGCACTGGGTTGGCCGCACATGTTTCCAATGTTTTTTTTTTTTT